TAGTAGTAATAATAATAGTAGTAGTAATAGTAATAGTAGTAGTAATAGTAATCATAGTAGCAGTAGTAGTAATAGGTGTAGTAATGGTAGTAGTAGCAGTAGTAATAATAATAATAATAGTAGTAGTAATAATAATAATAGTAGTGTAATAATAATAATAAGTATAGTAATAAAATAATAGTAGTAGTAGTAATAAAAATAATAGTAGTAATAATAAAAATAGTAGTAGTAATAATAATAATAATAATAATAATATAATAATAGTAATAATAATAATAATAGTAGTAATAATAATAGTAGTAGTAGTAATAATAATAGTAATAATAATAATAATAATAATCGTAGCAGTAGTAGTAGTAATAAATAATAATAATAATAGTAATAATAATAATAATAATAGTAGCAATAATAATAATAGTAGCAATAATAAAAATAGTAGTAATAATAATAATAGTAGTAGTAATAATAGTAGTCATAGTGGTGGTAGCAGTAGTAATAATAGTAGTAGTGGTAGTAGTAATAGTAGTAGTGGTAGTAGTAATAGTAGTAGTGGTGGAAGCAGTAGTAGTAGTAAGAGGAGGAATGATGATAATAATGATAATGATAATAATTGATAATAATAATAACCAATGCAGCTGGGAATGTGCAATATTCACAATAGTATTTTGTGAAATATCTACACACAAATGACTCCACAAGGGCTCAGCCAAAATGGAGACAATTAGTAGTCTACATGCGCTCACCTAATTTCCCCTTCCTAGAGTATCCCCCCTCACTAATGTTATTACTACTGATGCTGTTACTATCATTATTCATATTAACATATCAATATGGTAGATAGATGGCAGAAGGTGGTGGTACAGGGAGTTCTCTGTTTACAGTAGTTCCATTCCTGAAACCATACCATAAAATCAAATATGGTAAAATGAGACAATCATTCCCAAAAGAAATAACAAAGACAGAATAGGTTTCCTTTCCCAACCTCCCGCCCAAACTACATTACTCTCAAATGACCAAATATAATTGAATTTGGTAAAACAAAAATCCTTTAAATAAAAATTATACAAATTATTATACACAGTAATAACAAGGCAGATAGATCACGCTCAGTTAGAATTGGAAAAAAGCTTGGCAAGTGACTGGTCATTCTCAGTTACTGAGAGGAAGGGGCCATGGAAGAGGATCCCTTGTCAGTTTACTTCTGCTGCCACTTGGTGAAGAGTTATGCTATGTGGCTTGTTTACTGCTTTCCCTCCTCTTGTTCAGTTCTTCTTAACAGCAAAAACATTTTCTGACATCTCAGGCAACTTTCATACATCTTTACCTATTTGGGTCTGCATCACTGATGAATGCAAAGTGATGCATCCACACAGCAGAAAAGGTCAGCAAGCCTCTTTGCAGTCTGTTCTACATGTTCCCTCTTCATAGAGGGCTTTCGCTTTTTGCTATAAAGTCATGGAATGTTGCTGTGGTTCTGATCTTCAATCAATATAAACAAGCATTTTTTCATCCATTCAAATCAGTGTTATGTGAATAACTGAAGTGGTGCATATTTGTTGGGAAGCCTAGGATATCTTCTTTATCTTCTTGTTCTCCTGGATAGCTTGCACAGTTCAGTGCGATACATGAAGTGCATACGAGACATTCTCTAAGCTGCAGCAAATATACTCTAGCACTTTTTTTGTCTGCAGATCTGTCTTATCTTTACTTTATGTTCTTCTAGGAGTTTATTTTTGAAGTCAATATCTCATATGAAGAGCAAAAAATGTAAAAGAGTCGTAGGGTAATAGCCCCAATATTCACTGTGTGGGAAGAAGTCGGACATAGTTGAAATCCTTGGATCCACTCAACGATGCATCAAATATACCATTATTTTGAATCACTTGTACAGTGGAAAAAATAACAGCCATGGGTAGGGGGGGGTGGGGTGTTAAGGACAAATACCACAAACAAGGGCACTGTAAACTGTACTGCTATTACTACTAATAATAATAACAATTAACAGTAACAAGAACAATAATAATAATAATAAAAAAATAACGATAATGATGATGATTATATCAATAAAAAGGACAATATATAAAAAACAATACAATAATAAAAATAATGATATTACCAATAACCACTAACAATAATAATGAAATAATAATAATAATAATAATAATAATAATGATAGTAGTAGTAGTAGTAGTAGTAATAATAATAACAATAGTAGTAGTAGTAGTAGTAGTAATAACAAAAACAATGATAATGAAATCAATAATAAAAATAATATCAAAACATAATGGTAATAGCAATGGCAACATGATAATGATAACAGTAATAACAACACCAACAACAAAAATCATCAATATCTCAAATAATAACAATAATAATAATAATAGTAAACACCAAAACTGAAATATACTTTGCTCCTGATGCTCTTCCTGAGGACAAAATATTGAGATCCACAACACCAAATAGATTAGAACAGTTACATTTTGATCTATAGTAAACAGAC